TTTACCAAATCTTTGACACTTGTCACATTTCTTCACCATTTCCATGGCGTCTACCTCAAGAGTGGGCCAAAAATAACTTTTCCGCCTGGCCCTTTTTGCTAGAGACTTGCCGCCTATGTGTGATGCACAAAAACCCGAGTGCAGATCATCTAGAACCTCTTTCCTCCTTTCTGGGGTGATACATTTCAATAGCGGCTGCAAATAACCTTCTTGAAATGTTCTACATTATGAATCTCAAAGCTTGCGGCACGTTTTTTCATTGCAACCACTTCTGAGTATACATCCGGCAGAGTGTCGTTAGCTACATCAGCCCAAATGCCATCCATCTAGGTTGAGCTTCGGTCCAGGATTCCAATGGGATCTTTTTCAATACTCCTTTCTTCCATAACTTCCCAAAAGACTGACCTAAGCGTATCACAGGAGGCGGATGATGCCAGTTTAGAGAGAGCATTTGCCTTATTGTTTTCTGAACTAGGAACTTGACTTAGATGAAATTCATTAAGCGTCCCAGCCTCGTTTTTGACCGCCTCCAAGTATGTGATCATAGCCGGATGGGTGGCCTCATAGTCACCATGGTACTGGCTAAGGATCAGTTGTGAATCAGAGCAGGCGTCAACTTTTCTTGCCCCTACCGCGTTACACATGCGGATACCGGCTAGTAGGGCTTCATATTCCGCCTCATTATTTGAGGCTTGAAACTTGAACCGTAGTGCATATTCATACTTGTCCCCTTCAGGAGACTGGCATATAACGCCTGCACCACAACCGTTCATAGTAGAGCTCCCGTCTACGTATACTTTCCCAACCTGGTCAAGATTCTTCGGCTCAACCGGCCTTGTCATTTTGATAATGAAGTCAGCAAACGCCTGACCCTTCACTGCCTTCCTTGGTTCGAAAGAGATCTCAAGACTTTGCATTTCAATAGCCCATTTGAGCATCCTATCGGATGACTCCAAAGTTGGCATTGGCCGCTTGAGGGGTTGATCTGTGTAGATCACAACCGGATGTGCCAAGAAGTAAGGCTTCAACTTCTTGACTGCCATGAAAAGAGCAAGGCCAAATTTTTAAACCATGGAGTACCGTAGTTCAGCATTTCGAAGAACATAGCTAATAAAATAGACCAGGAGCTGAATGTCATCCCTCTCAGGCAGGAGAACAACACTGAGGGCATGGTTTGAGACGGCTAAGTACATGTAAAGCACCTCATGTGGCAGAGGGATAACAAGCCTTGGCAATGAGTGCAAGTGTTCTTTCAATTTCTGAAAGGCCACCTCAGCATCCCCCCCCATTCAAACATAGTCTTCTTCTTGATCGCTTGAAAGAAATAGGAGCACTTGTCACCTGACCGGTTCAAGAATCTCCCCAATGCCGCCAGACAACCGGTTAATTTTTGAACTTCCTTGACGGTGCGGGGTGACTTCATGTCAATGACCGCCTGTAGCTTCTCTAGGTTGGCCTCTATTCCCCTTTGATCAATTAAAAATCCGAGAAACTTCCCATACTCAACACCAAAGACACACTTCTTGGGATTGAGCATGACCTTGTGCCGCCTGAGGGTGGTGAAGGTTTCTCGGAGGTCAGCAAGGTGATCCGTCTGTAGCTTGGATTTGACTATCATATCATCAATGTACGCCTCTACATTCCTCCCAATCTGATTAACGAAGACTGTATTAATCATTCGTTAAAAGGTAGCAAGCGCATTTTTCAACCCAAACGGCATTACCGTATAACAGAATAACCCCTTATCAGTGACGAACGACGTCTTCTCTTGATCTTTTTTCCACAAGGGTATCTGATGGAAGCCTGAGTAAGCATCCATAAAGCTCATCAAGGCATGACCGACTGTAGAGTCGACCAGACTGTCGATCTTTGGAAGAGGATAACTATCCTTCGAACATGCCTTGTTCAGATCTGTGTAGTCAACAGACATCCGCCAGGTGTCATTCGGCTTTTTTACAAGAACAACATTTGCAACCCATTCCGAGAAGTAACATTGCCGAATGAACCCAGCATCCAACAACTTCTTTACTTCGGCAGCTGCCGCCTGACTTCTTTCCTCACCATGGTCCTTTTCTTTTGCCTAACCGGCTTCTTTTTGGGATCCACGACAAGTTTATGAACAGCTAGATCCGGGCTGACGCCTGGCATCTCTTCTACTTCAAAGGCAAAGATGTATTTGAATTCTTTCAGCAGATTGTGCAAGTCTGCACCCAACTTTGCAAATGCAACCGTCCCAACCTTAACAGTTCGATCCGGACGGGTGTCATCCAGAGCAATATCCATGTGTTCACCAGCTGGGTGGGGACGGAGTTCATCTGACCGTTCCTTGGTCAGTGATTGCTATTGCTTCTCTTTTTTTACGGCCACCAACTGGTCGGCCTTTCTCTTTTTGCTGGGGCTTATTGGAGCAGGGGCAACTTCCTTGACCTCATCAAGGTCTATAGGCTCTTCACCTTGGCCGGATGCGGCCGCAGTAGGCTTGACGTCTGAGAGGTAGCACTCTCTTGCCGTCTTCTGATCCCCATTCAAGGAACCTACAGACTCGTCATCTTTTTCAAACTTCAGGAGCATAAGGGATGGAATGATGACGGCCTTGGATTCATTCAGTGTTGGATGGCCCAATATCAGATTATAGGCGGTCAACTCCTCAACGAACAAGAACCGGACTACCATGTGGCGTCTTTCTCCCTTCTCCCTTAACCAGATGGGTAGGTCAATCCTCCCCACCGAATGCACTACTCCACCCCCAAAACCATCTAAGGGGTGAGATACTTTGTGCATACTGTTGGGCTTGTACTTAAGCTTTGTCAAGCACTTATGGCTGATCAGGTTAGACGAGCTCTCGGTGTCAATAAGGATCCGACCTACCTTTCTGATTGGCCACTTTGCATTCAATGACTATGGGGTCATCATGCAGCCGCCTAACCTTGCCCCTGTCCTTCTCAGTGATGATAACCTCAGAAAATGTGTCTTTTGACGCCTGGCCCTCATCAACTGAGTTGACATCCAACCGCCTGATATAGTCTTTGGTGCCCCGGATGGTTGGACCTCCTTCGGCAAAGCCGCCTGCTATTGTATAGATCGACTCTTCATCAGTGTTCGAACTACTAGCAGGTTGGGCCGCCTTTTTGGACGGCTGTCCATTATTTGTTCTCAAGGTCACCTTGGACTTCAGAATGTAGTACTTCAGCACCTCTTTATCAGCCAGACGGTCTAACAACCGTTTGAGGCTATAACAGTCGTTGGTGTCATGGCCTATGTCCTCATGGAAATGACAGTATTTGTTCTTATTCCGATTTTTTACGGAACCTTTCATTGCAACCGGTTTCTCAATAGTCACCAGGTCTTTGATCTCCATGACGATAGAGTAGCAAACCTTGTTAAACTCATACTTGGGAACATACGTTTTAAACTCTCTTTCTTTCTTCTTTTTCTAGGACGGATGTTTAGAGTCATCAGCCACCCAGACTTCTTTTCTCTTCTTGCTCTCTTCTTTTTTTGCCGGCTGACCAGGCCGACTCTCTTTTTTGTCGGACTTCTTAAGGTCCGTCTACTTACTGATGGCGCAAAGTTCAGTCGCCTGTATATAGGCTTCCGCCTCCATCAGAGCTTCTTGGAGGGTAGCTACCCTCTTTCTGAGGAGGTCGAATTTAAAGGTCTACCCATCCTTCAGACCTTTAAAGAAGTCTGTGTAAGCCACTTTGTCAGACAGCCCTTGAATCTAAATTCTCATCAGATTGAACCGCCTGACATAGGACCTAAGCCCTTCTCTATCTCCTTTCTGTATGGCACCCAAGTCAAGACTTGTTTTCTTAGCAGGGATGTTCAAAGAGAAGTTAGAAGCAAACAAGTACGCAAGCGTCTTGAAGCTATTGATGCAGCCAGCTGGCAGGTTGCCAAACCATCGTTGGGCAATGCCCTTTAATGTAGCCGAGAAGCAGCGGCACCAGGTGGCATCATCCAACCCCTGTAAGTACATGAGGTTGGTGTAGGCCATCAGGTGATCTTCAGGGTTGGTGGTACCATCATAAGTACCCACCAACACATTCTTAACCTTGGCCGGCTGTGCCGCCTCGGTTATCTCCTTAGAAAACGCAGAAGGTTGTTCCCCAAGTTTGAGCAGACGAAGCTGTCAGTCCAAAGGTTGGACATTCTGCGCCGCCTGACCCCCAAAGAGAGCCGACTGCATACATGGTTGCCTATACGACATGTATGGCTGCAGAGGCACATACGGAGCCGAATGGATTATCTGAGGGCCAGTGTGAACGGACAAGCCGCCAGACTAACTCTCTCGGTTTGATTGCGAATACCTCACTGAGGTATTCTGAAAGCTGTCTGGGTAAGTCAACGTTGAAGCCGACCCAGACAGTTGTTGACATTTCTTCTGCTGGATTAACATCCGGGAATCAGAATAAGTCCTCTTTGATCCATCCGGCTGAACATGCCGGATGGCCTTCCTTTTCCCTATTTCAGGGAATCGGATCTTGGACAGATCAATCACGGGTCGGTTCCCCTCCTTTGGTTTAGGATACGGAGTAGGCACACGGTCCTTGACCGGTTTTTTCTTCTCTGAGAAAGAAGGTTTTTTGGCCGATTGACCCTTGCTTGAGCCAGCCGTAGGTCTTCTTGTTGATCAAGTCCTTGATTTCCCCTTTAAAACTTGTCATGAATTTCATGAGTTCGTCTCTAGTAACTGGGGTTGCGCCTTCTGCTGCCTGGGGTTGTTTAGACGGCTGTCCGACTGTCTTACTTGGACCAACTTGCTCTTTGCCCCGTTCCCTTGTTTCCATGGGATTGGTGCGCCTGGTTCTAAGTGACCCATCTAGGGCCACATAGGTTTTGACATCAAAGTCGTCACCACTGTCTTTGTCTGAATAGACCTCAACCTCGACCGTAGGCCGTTTCTCGTTAGCAGGCGATACAGACTCATGTGAAGCCATCTTAGAAGTACTCTCCCCACAGACGGCGCCAAATGTTTCGGGGTTTTATGTGTCCCTCGGGAGAGTTCCAACACCAAGACTAAATTCCGGGCGCCTGTACCTGCAAAACAACAGAGACTCCGGTTGGGTGGAGTTCCGCCTCCGACGATCAAGTTAGAACGTGTTCGGAAGACGTAAAAAGTGTGGAAAGAAAGGTGGGATCCTCTCGGATTCCGAGATCAGGTATATTCTCGGTGGTGAGAATTAATTATCTGCAATCATTAACTGCTCTAGTTTTTTTTTTTTTTTTTTTTTTTTTTTGAATCCTGAATCCGTCCCCTAGGTGGAATACATCTTCCTTTAATAGGGTCTTGGGATTTGTGTCTCCTTCCTAGGTTACGAAAACCTAGGAATGGTGGGTTGTCTAAGGAATTGGGCCTTGAAGGCCGTCTTTTTCCCAATGATTGGAGATGCCACGTGTCAGCTGAGGATTGGTTTATTTTGAACCTCTGATAAGGTGACACGTGTCACCATTTTATTGGGCCACGTGGCCTTGGGGTATTTTTACCCAAAATGATAGTTACACTAAGGGGAGAGTGGATAACTATTACCATATTATGAGGGTAATAATTCCTCCATCTTTGTCTTTTCCTCATGGAACAATTATTTTATTTCATTTGTAAACACCATGCCTCCTACAACAACACCTCTAATTACTTATTTTTTCACGTTTGATTTTTATTATTACCTTAATATATTACCCCCAATCCAAGCAAGGCCTATGTAAAACTGATCCCCAAAAAAAAAAAATCAAATTCAGATTTTGACTTAAATAGAGATAATAATATAGCCTTGGCTCAATTTTAAATAGATCCAACCCAACCTAATCTTACAAAATTGGCAAATTCAACCCAAGCACCCGAATTGACACCCACGTTTAACTTAAACGAACTAACGATGTCAATATAAGCAACTCTTTCCCGCCTTAAACAATAGAAGGTGTCACATTCCCCTCTATTTCTCTCTCTGAGCTTAGAGCAACTCAACAATGGCGGTCATCAACACTGCAATTTTCTCTCTCCTAACTCTTCTCCTCTCCACCAACCTCCTTCCTTCCTCCTCAACCTCAACCTCAACAATGGCGTCGGAACACTGCAGCAAAGAACTAGTCTCCTTCTCACCATGTCTTCCATACACTGCATCTCCACCAAGCAACTTCTCCTCCTCTGTTTCCGACGATTGTTGTCACAACTACAACGACATTCTCATTTCTGGGCGTGGATTTTGCTTGTGCTATCTTCTTCTTCAACCTCCCATTTTCGGCGCTCCGCTCGATTCCGATAAGATTCATTCTCTCTCCTCCATTTGTCCTCCTTCTCACCGGAGTAGATTCGGTTCCTTAATTGATTTCTCTCTCAAATCTTTATGCTCAGGTTTAATTTTTATCCTCATTTTGAATTCTTTGGTTTTATGATAATCTTTAATTTGTGTTGTTGCTTTGATTTATTGCTCAATTTTGCGCTTGTTTGATTGCATTTTGCTCAACCCTAATTTGAGGAATTTTGATGAGTTATCAAATTTGTTTTCGTAACCTGAAATGATTTAGTAAAAAATAAATTAAAAGAGGAAACCAAAAATAAAATTACTGTTTGAAATTATGAAATTATCTGATATAATACTTTACTGTATTTTTAATAAACGCTTGGGAAGAACTCTGACCTTATTTTTGAAATTTTAAGGTGCTCGTAATTTCAATATGGTCGATTTGCTCGTATTATTTTTAATTTGATTGATAAGTGTTGAGGTATTCGTGATTTGGTAGTGGCAATTGTTCGGTTGTTGGAACTCCATCTAGACTATGATTCTTCATTTTAAACTAAAATGAAGAATCCGAATAACATAGACTATGTCCCTACTCCCTAAATATGTCTAGTACATTGAAATTCTGGTTTAAGAGTTAAATGAATTGAGTGAGTCTAATTATACACTACAATTTCAACTATTATGAACAATGTATGATGAAATTGAACTCGTTGTGGATAGTATCAACTCAATGGGTTTATATATAGTTATAGCCCTTCTAGGTGTAAATAATTTATGGATATTGTTAACTTCATTTTACGAAAATCTCCATTGTAGTGAGCTTTCACTTCATTTAACACAAAGTAGAGGTGATGGAACAAGTTTTGGTAAGTTAGCAGCTGTAAATCTGTAATTAAGTAAAACCCTTAGTTAGGACAAGTAGCAGAATACAATACTACAACTATCAAATGAAGTAATACTACTAAGTTAAAGTTGGATAATATTCGCCATTACAATTGAGTATTAACTAGGACATCATCAGCTTATACATGTTACTACAATCTCACTTTTAATAATTTTGTCTATTTCTCTGGACTAATAATTCTGTCTTTCTTACTTTTTCCGTTGGCCAGATTCTGAGGCATCACCCCCTCTCCAAAGCACAGGTACTACCTTTGGTGTTGGATTAACTCGCTAATTGAGATTTTAAAGTAATCAACCAAACAACTATCCGTATATATAATTGTAATGCAATTCATGACAGCAGGTCCAGAGTCTGGAATAAATACTACTACTGAGCAATTCTCAGGTATTTTTCTTTCCATTTGTCACAGGAGCATGATGTAATCTCTATTCATGAGATTGGGTACTAAAATAATCTTGGTAATTTATTATAGGTTCTGCAACTCTTCTTTCTCCAACTCCAGATATGGACTTGACACCGACATCAGCTGATAGTCTATCACCACCACCACCAGGATTGCATACTATCTCCTCTAAAGCTTCACCAGCAACAAGGGTCAGCTTGAGTACTCCTTTAACTGTAATTCTCTCCAGGTATTTTCCTTTTTTCACTATGATATGAGACCATATTTGTTGATTATTCTCTTCTGCAATCTGTTTACCATGGGTTTGCAAAACTTTGCAGTTTACATATAATGCTCAACACGGCCAGATGGGGCTAGTGTGATTCTGTGAAAGCTACAGATTCGGAGCTGCTGAAGTTTGTTAACCCTGTTTTTAACTCATTTGTACGTACATACATATGAGTTAGCTGTACGTACAGAATTCAGTGTATTAGCTGTTATAGTACATATCTTCACCTCAGCTGTACGTACAGAATTCAGTGTATTAGCTGTGTATAGTACTGTTTCTAACAAAAAACAGCAGAGGAACTATTTGTAAAGATGTTTAGCATGTCAAGTCATATTCTTGTGAGATAGCTGCTCTATTGAACTTTTAGAGCAATTTTTACTACGGCATTTACATATTGCTCTTAATACCAATAGCACAAGCAATTTGTTGTCTTCTCTGAATGCGATTGGTATCAGATGCACATAATATATCGATTATAACATCAAAACCAAGTCATTTTAGCAATATTAGCTGACCAAAATATTCTGAGGATGTTTGATACAAATTATCCCTTCCAGACATCAGACCATTCATCTTCATATTTGTGTCATTTTCCGAGGATAGCTCTTGACCATACTCTGCTGCAACCTAAAAAAGCATTATTATGCATGATTTCATGTTTTTTTGTATTTTATTTAGCTTTTAGGGGTATTTTAGGATTTTTAGCTAGTTCTAAAGTTGGACACCAACTTTTCTCTCTTTTTATTTAAACAAGAAAGGAACCTATATTATAAATAGATGCTAAAAGCATCAAGGATAATCTAAGTTTGATAGCAAAAGTAGGCAACCATGGTGCTATAGGTACAGAAAATTGCAGCCATGGTTCCTGAACCAATCGAAAATAGCAGAAAATAAAAAGACAGCACATTAACTAAAAGGCTAGATAAATTATAATTAGTAGGGGAGTTGTGAAGCTCATGAAGTGCTGGAGGAACAGCATCAACTGCCACTAACCATAGCAATGGTGTTGGCCAGCTCCTTAGTGTATGTAGCAGTGAGAGCAAGTGGCGAATAGAAATGATACACCAGGTCATCATCTTGAAGTCTGCCAATTTCAGCCATCCCGTGAGCAAGCTTGTTTGCATTTCTCTTCACATGAAGCACTGTGACGATCCATTCCCTCTAAAGAATTTGAGCAACATCGTTAACTATGTTAGAGAGGTGATGGTCCATATAGTAGGTCGGGTTCTGCAGCATGTAAGTAAGCACCTGTGCATCAGTTTCAAGTTCAAGAGCTCGAATTCCTCTTTCCCAAGCAGTGGACAGCCCTTCTCTAATGGCAATGATCTCGGAAGAAGCTGGTCCTAGTGTTTTAATCCTCATTGAGTAGCCTATTTGCCACTTCCCCTTGTGGCAACGGATAAGCCCCCCTGTCCTGCTTCACCTAGGCTCATCCAAGAACCATCTGTATTGAGTTTGTAGTACCCTTGCTGGGGAGGTGACCAAACTTTAGGAGAAATGGTCCTGTTTGAAGAAGCGGCATCCTTTCCAACATGTGACAGCTTTAGGGTAATAGCATAATCCGAGTTGAATTTGTTAAAACAAGTAGTGATGCAATCAGTGTGTTGTTCAAAGACCATTTTATTCCTAATAGACCACACATGCCAAAGAACCACACAAAAAAAGCACTTTCTAGGAACTATCATGATTGTAATTAAGAGAGATCCAATTTTCGAAATCAGAGGTGTAGAATTCAGCATAATTAAAATCAGTTGGGGGAAAATTTTCAAAAATAAGGGCCTAAAAAGCAAGGCTGTTAGGGCAGTCCCTGAAGAGGTGTATGATGTCCTCAATGGGGTGGCTACATCTAGTGCAGCAAGGGTTGAAATTTGGGATCTTAGTGGCTAAAATAGCACCCACGGGCAGAATGTTACGAATTATGTTCCAAAAAAGCATTTTATACTTGAAAGGGGCATGGATTTTCCACATATTTTTCCAAGGGAAATTAGAGAGGAAGGAGTTATTAGAGGTAGTATAAGGAATGGAGGCAAAGTTAGTAAATGAACCATTAGGGTGGAGGGACCATATAAGTCTATCCTTAGGGGAGTGGAATTTAGGAAGAGGGGTAGCTTCAATATTAAGAATTAAGTCAGAGGAGAGGATGTGGGAAATAGGATAAGTGTACCAAGAATTATTCCTAATAATATTAGAGTCTCTCCAATGACCTTTGTTATCAGGGATGTGGATATTGTCATTGAGGTAAAGAGGCTTATCTCCAATCCACTTGTGGAACCAGAGTGAAGTTTCCTCCCCGTTTCCAATGTGAATAGTGATGCCTTGCTTTAGGATTTCCCTTCCTTGAAGGATGTCCCTCCGTATAGGGGAATCCATAGCTCTAGCATTATAATCCAGAAAGTTGGAGTACTTTAAGTATCTTTTGGCGAGGATTTTAGCCCAAAGCTTATGAGGTTAGGTAAGGAGTTTCCACCCAAGTTTTGCCATGAAACAAAGGTTCCAATTTTAAGGTTCCTAATACCTAGGCCACCACAGTTTATAGGATCACAAACTACGTTCCATGAGGTTCTAGGAATGTATCTGTTTTTATTGACTTTATTCCAAAGGAACTTCTTAATGTTTTTTTAAGTTCACTTATGAGGGAGGAGGGGAGGATGTTAGTTTGCATGGCATACATGGGGTAGGAATTCAGCACAGCCTTAATGAGAGTGGTGCGACCCACCATGTTGAGAAGCTTACTTCGCCAGCCTTTTTCCAAAAGGTCGTAATAATCTGAGATTTTAAGCTTATTAGGACTGATAGTGATTCCCAAATACTTCCCAAAAGAGGTTGAGTTCTTAATATTATAAAATTCAAAAATAGACTTTCTTATATTAAAGTCCATTTTCCTAGGGAATATGATGGAAGATTTGTTAATGTTAATGGCTAGGCCAGAGATCTTCCTAAATTCTTCTAGAACATTCATCATAGTGGAGATATTATTTAAAAGGTAATTTCAATTTTGCTACCACCAACAGGCAGGCACTTCAATTTTGCTACCCCTTAAATTTTTTTTTTTTTTATTTTACTACCACCTAAAATCACAGTTTTTAATTTCACTACCACTTAACGGAATCCGTTAGGGTTCTGTTAAGTTTATTCAAAAAAAAAATTAAAATGTTTTAAAAAAAAAAAAAATGTTTTAATTTCACTACCCTCTCCCCTCCCTTTCCTCCACCCCTCCCATCAGCCACCCTCCCCCCTCCCCCTTACCAGCGACCGGCACCCAATGCTTTGGCCGGCGCCGGCGACCCCACCCCAATCCCTTTCCCCCACCAACGCAACCCACCCCCCCTCCCTAATCCCTTTCTCGCTGCCCCAACCGCCACCCGGAACCGGAAAACCCAAAATCTTCATCATCTTCTTCACTCTCGCTGCCCCAACTTGCCTTCATCTCTCCCTCCTCACAACTCAAAAGCCACACTTCCTTTATTTTTACTCTCCTTGATGCCCTCCTGCAAGCTACCACCATTCTCTACCGCTGAATCCACCGCTGTTGCCACAAAGAGCCGACAATCACTCATTCCATCTCCTCTCATATCATAATTGATGTGTTCTTAATCATATACGCATCAAATTCAGCATCACCCACACAAATTTGGCAATGAAAATATACTAATAAATAATTGATTCGTGCTACTGTGATTCGTGTTCTTGAATTTCAACTCTTTCTGGTGTAATTTGCATACTTGTTCATCATTATTATGAATGCTTCATACCAATTCGCGTTTGCGTTGATCAAATTTGTTGCATTATCTAATTTTTCGCGAAGAACCCTAGAAAAATCGAATTGGGGGTTTCTGTTTAACAAATGTATTCGCGCAATTCTTAATCCCAAATGATAGTGTGTTGCATTGTGAGCGTTTTGGTACTAATTTTGTGCGTTTTGGTGAAGAAATGAACATGTTACCCCTTTCCCTTAAGCTTTGTGCGTGAGTATCAATGGAGTTAGGGGTGGTGACTGCGTTGGTGGGGGAAAGGGATTGGGGTGGGGTCGCCGGCACCGGCCAAAGCATTGGGCGCCGGGCACCGGCAGGGGGAGGGGGGATGGTGGCTGACGGGAGGGGCTGGTTGGGCAGTTGAGGGTGGTGGGCTGCAAAGGTGGAGGAAAGGGAAGGGGGAGGGTGGCAGTTAAGGGTGGTGGGTTTTCTTTTTTTTTTTTTTTTTTAATAAACTTAATAGAAATCTAACCCATTTCGTTAAGTGGTAGCAATTTTTAACAACTGTGATTTAGGTGGTAGCAAATAAAATAAAAAAATTAAGGGGTAGCAAAACTAAGATGCATGCCTTTTGGTGGTAGCAAAAGTGAAATTGGCCTTATTTAAATTAGCTTTTCCAAATAGAAAAACATCATTAGCATAGAAAAAGTAGGAAAGCTCTATGTCCTTGGCCATTTCCAACTCTTGTTGTGAACACTGTCTTGAATCATGCAAGAAAGGCGATCAAGACATAAGACGAAAATATAGGGGGGAGGGGGCATCCCTGTCTAACACTACAAGAAATAGGCCGGATTCCGACGGACTTAAATTCCGTCGGAAATTTCAAGATTTCCGACCGAATTTGAGTCTGTCAGAAAATTCCGTCATAAAAGGTAAGTTACGACGGAAAATCCCTCGGATATATTCCGACGGATTTTTTTCCCTCGAAAAAAACAGCTTCGGACGGAATATCCCGTCGGAAACCGTATATTCCAAGGGAAAAATTCCGCCGGAATAACTAAAAAAAAAAAACCAAACCCTAACTATAGTTCCGACGGAATTTTTTTTCCGTCGGAAATTTTCCGACAGATGTTGATCATTTTCCGACGGATTTTTGATATTTAAAAAAAAAAAATTAAAAAAACCCTAAATCAGATTCCCCCCCCACCCCTTCATTTCCACGCCTCTCTTTCCCCTCTCTTTCTCTCTCCTCTCCTCTTTCCCCTTCTCTCTCCTTCCTCTTCTCCTCTCCTTCCTCTTCTCCTCTTCGTCCTCTTCTCCTTCCTCATTGTCTCTTCTTCTTCTCTTCCCTTTTTCCGTCCTCCTTCTTCTCCTTCCTCTCTCTTTCTTCTTCTCTTCTTCCCTTTTCATGGTTTTTTTGGTTTTTCTCTTCTTTCCTCCTTCATTCTTTTAGATTTTTTGGTTTTTCATGGTTTTTTTGGTCAAATTCGACCATGAAACCTCTAGATCTAGAGGTTTCATGGTCGAACTTGGCCATATTAAACCAAATTCGAGGTGACATTCAAGCCAAACTCGATTTAAAGGTATGTTTTTTTTTTTAATTTAAACATTGTTCGTTGCGATTGTGGTTGTGGTTTTGGGCGGTTGTGGGTA